TCGGCAGAGGAAGTGGATGAGCAGCCACGAGGCAGGCACATCCCAAAACCCAGCGAGCCCCACGTGTGACTGTTAAGCAAAGCTGAGCGCATTGGAACTGTATCTTCATTATGCAAAGCGGCTGGTGAGGAGGGGGAGAGAGAAACTGCCTTTGCTTTTATTAGCAGATGCTTATGGGGTGACCTCAGCATCCCCCAAGCCTACAAAGCAGCCGCGCAGGAAAACATATCAATGATATTTTTCAGGCTCTCTGAGGAGCAAGCCTGTGAGGACACATACTTGCCAAAATAAATGTGTTAAAAACGTTTTTAGCTGAAAAGGAACTGCTTTTAGCCAAGGACCCTGCTCAGTGACAAGGGAGAAGCCCTGCGGTCACTCCTGAAGAAGGTTTGTCCATGTCACTGGAAACCATCTCCACTCAGCCCCTGGCTCAAGAGATCCGTGGCTGGACCTCCATGGATCTGCGCTGGTCAGTCCCAGGACTGGTCCCAGCTCCCGACTCCCTGGAGCACAGGAGAGCTCTGCACAGCAACCATAGGTGCTTCCAGGCACAGATTCCTTCCACAGCCCTCTCCACCCATTTTAGAGCAATGCTTAAAGCACGCACGATGAACACACCGTGGCAGTAAAAAACTAATGGGCAGGGTACGATTACAGAGAGCACACTGGCAACGAGTAAAACAGTCCTCATAAAACCAATCTCACAGGACAAGAGGTCCTGTAACTCCCACAGCACCCAAGAACCAGCATCTTGGCTTGTATTTCTGTATCTGTTTAAAGGGCAGGTAAACCTCTGCCCAGGGCAGTGTGCTACGCTCACTACGTCTGCCCTGAGAGGAGACCAATGTCACCTGTTCTGCCAACAGGCTCAGCCAGCCACAGACCCAAGGGGGTCCTGCCTTGGTTCCCAGGATGCAGAAAACACAACCAGCACCTTCTCCTTCCCTCCACCACCTGACCAAAGCATGGCCACTGCTCCCGCAGATGAAAACCTCCCTGTGACAAACAGGGCTCACCCCAACTCCCCATTTGCAAACGTTTTTACATCTCTTTTATTAACTGCGGGGCCTTCTGAAGTCACTGAGAGGTTCACTTCATATATAAAGGATTTTCTTAGATTAAGGGCCTCAATGAAAGGCCTTTGAACACTCCAACTCCTTCCCATTTTCAGATGGTTTCACTGTGCACACATTAAAAATGCACGCAGGCAGCATGAGCCAATATTCCTTAACCTCCTGCCTCTCTTGCAAAACTTGGCTTCCAGGAAAAACATATATCTTGGGGAGACGAAAACACACGTGTCCCCCCATCACAGCTCACGTTGAGCACACGGAGCTCACAAGCACGAGGTGGACAAGGGCCGGAGCCCAGCGGACACCGGGACGTGCCATGGGCAGCAAGAACAGGCAGGGCTGCAGCAGGGAAGTGGAAAGGGAAAAAAAAGCTTTAAGGGAAAATAAATCCCGGTTTACTGGGCCCGGCAACAAGAAGCCCCATTGTCCTCCAGGGAGCCGAGTTCGCTGGAGAGAACCTGGAAAGAGTGAGAACTCGTGCTCCAGAGCACGGGAAAGCCTTTGCACAATACCCCAGTGAGACCCCGCTGCTCCTCCCTGCTACAGAATCCTCCCACCAACGTGGAGCATTTAGTGCCCCGTGAGGAGCAGGGTAAGGGCTTAGCAGGACAGGAGCGGGCTCTGTGGTGGGAGCTCCCCATGTCCTGGCTGTAAAATAAAGGCTCTCATTCAGCGACAGCCACGACAGGCAAGGAACACGGCGGTAACCTCTCCCTGGGAGCACTAACGGTCCTCCAGACAGAGCAGGAAAGGGTGAGAAACAACAGCAATTAAACATATTCCCCTCTCCTGAAGCAATGGACAATGCTACACAATGAGGATCTTTTCTGTGTCCCCACACACAAGAGCCCTGTGAGACAACAACGAAAACTCCAGGGAAAGAGAATTATAGCATTCCTGCAGGACCCGTGCTCCCAAACCAGGTCAGGGGCAGTGCTGCCAAGGCTGCCTGTGCCCAAGGAGCAGCAGGTCTCCAGTCCCACAAGCCAGGTGAACAAAGGCTTTTCTCCCCTCCCCATTTCTGAGACACACGCACAAAACTAAGGGATTTGCCCAGGGCCACGTACGGCACCTGAGGCAGAACACAGATCCTGCTCTCCCTTCCACACATCTTCCCTTCGTGCATCACCTTCCTTCTGCGCATTTGCGTGCACAGAACCATCTTTCTTCCAAATGCCTTGAAGAGACAAAACCGTGGCTGTTTCTAGGAGGCACCAATAAGCCTCATAACATCAAGGGTTTGTTACATTGGGCACTACCCAAAAATAACCCAGCGTGGTGGTGGTGGCCCTGGCAACTACACACTGCTTCAGTTAGCGGGAAACGCCGTCTGTTCTCTTCACACAGCCTTGTGCAAGACAGAAACGAGGTTTGCTACCATAAGGGACCATTCCCTGCTTGGGGGACGCCAGCGATGAGCCGTGCTGCAGCAGGACGCTGCTGCCTGCAACTGCTGAAACCTGCATCATGGCTAGAACAGAGCAGGGGAGGACAGACACAGGGGCTGCAGCAGCTGCACCGGATCAAGCACAGCCCCAGCAGCGTGCTGCGAACACAGCATCGCATCAGAGATCGTTTTCTGCCATGTTTTGCTGCTTGTACCTTGTTTCTTGGAAGAAACACTCTGTCATCTCAACACAGCTATCCTGATAGCTATCTGATTTGCTCTGTGAAACAGGGCTTCTCTGACAAGGTTCACGTATCCAGGAATCAGTAAGACAGGAAGGATATTTTTTTCCGTCACTGAATACCATACAAGATTGATTCCTTGATTTCTGTTTTTCTACCCTACCTGCCATGATTTTTTTTTTAAGGGAAGTAATAGGCTCAGGGATTTATTTCATTCTCAATTTGTGTGATCCCGATTCTTAGACCTCAAAAGAGGGGATGGAGCAGAGCCACGTTCATGCACCATCCCAACTGCACTCTATTTACCATGGTCCTGAGCACCATGCCTAAGCCAACGAGACTTTTCCATTTATTTCAATGGCAGCATCCTCATAGTGGGAGGGAAGGTCAGGGATCCCCAGCATCAGTGGGGACCCCAGCGAGCTGAGAGGCAGCAGTGGCTGCCGTGAGCAGCCCCTTTGGGGAGCCAGAGCTGCTGCTGGTTCCCACAGCTAAATTAACTCATCTGAGATCAGTTTCTGTCTTTGAGGCTTTTCTGGAGGTGTGGCAGGAAATCACCTAATCAAGAGGGAAGAACGGGCAGGGATGGACAAGGCGAGGGCTCTGCGCGCTCAGGGGCAGCGGTGATGGGAGCGGGCACCCCGCGAGGGGATTTTCCAGCTAAAGGAGCAACAGCGTTTCCTGTTCTTGCAGTGCTGGCAGTGGGGAGGAGCTGGGTTAATGAGCAGGAAAACAGGGTTAGAAGCAAAGACCCACTAAGCTCTGTGCTATTCTTGTGTCATTACGGTGCCAAAGGCTTCCAAGAGAAGGGATTTTAGTGGGAACTGTAAATGCTGTTTGTAAAATGAAGAAGCAAAAGCCACATAACCACAAGAACAGCAAAGCCTCCCTGCCCTGCATCCCAGCTATCGCCAGCCCTGACAGCAGGACAGCTCAGCAGAAGCAACAGGAATTCAGCCAAAGCCTTCCTAGGGCACAGCCTGCTCCTTCACCCTCTGCAGGACACCAGGACACCCCTGTCTGGAAGGGCTTTGCCAAGGCTGACACAGCAGAGCCTCTCCCAGTGATGCCCCGAGACTTAAACCCAGCCCTGGCAAAGGCACTGCAGCCTGTGTGTGGGTTCCCCCTCACCCCCCGCCTCCCAGCGCCTTGGATGTTCCTTTCTCTTAAAATAATAATCACTGCATTGCTCAGGGCTACCCTTAACAATAAATAGTCCTTAACTTAGAGCACGTCTTTATTCCTCAAACCTGAACCCCCGGATCTCCCCCCAGGTCCTGGTGGGATCTGTCAGGTTTGTGTTTAACAGATGGGAAGGCTCCGAGTTTGTTTTACACGTGAAAAGCTGTTTCCCTCCAGCAATATCAGTGCAGTTAAGGCAGTGAAAATAAGTTCAGACAGCGGAAACGGAGGCGTGGGGTGGTGGGCACGGGCAGCAGGGCGAGATGTGAGGGGGGCCCATCCACAGCACCCCCACAGCGTGGCTGCGGCTGTGCTGACCCCGGGACACAGCCAGAGCCCAGTGCCACAACACACCCTGCCACAACAGCCAGACACGCTCCGCAGGGCAAAGCAAATGTGTTCTACAGCTGAGGAAAAGAAACAACCCCCCAAAAAAGGAGGAAAGGTACTTGAGGCTGAGAACTCGTCCCAGTTGTGTCTGTGGTCTTAACGAGATGGTGCCAGATTAATAATGGAAACACACAGTAACAAGAAAAGCAATCGCAAACCAGTCTTGCAGGGAATTGAACAAAGGCCACGATAACAGCTCTGCTTAACAGGGCTGTCTGCTGGGTTCAATTCCTTCCCCATTGCTCCTTCCTCTACCAGAGCAGGAGCAGCCCCACAGCCGGGCAGCCCACATGGGGCACCGGGGCTGGGTCACTCCTTACCCCCCTCTGCCCGCGCAGCACTGATGCGCCTTTGTCAAGGCCAGGAAGACATTTCCCAGTGTCCAGTGACAGAAAGACCACCTGAATGAGGTGGGGACAGTGGGGTGACACCACAGGGTCAGGGCAAAGGGTGCTACTGGCTTTCCTGGGATCCCACTAAACCCACCCGCTGCCCCCCCAGCAGGCACATCACACACAGCTGATGACTTACTTTCTTTGTAAGCTATTCCTGAGCAGCCTGCAAGGTGCTTTTGCATGTACCCTGTTACAATTCAAAGGCATCCTTGATGTCTGTTTAACCTTAATATATGTAGCTTTTAAAGAGTCTGATGTGATTAAATACTAGAAATATGGATAGGGAGACTGAAAAACATCATTTAAAGCATCAGGTTGAAAAGGATCTTACCTAATTCCTTTGGTTTGAGCAATACTGTGGAAGGAGAGTCTGGATACTGCAGAGATCACCTGGAGAGAGAAAAAGATGCTGATGTGCTTACTGGTGATAGAGGAAGGTTTGGTGGGAACTTGAGGTACCACAGCCTGAACACCCATTGAAATGGGTGAGCTCCAGTGCCCAATCTGTGTCACAGGACAATGCCACCAGGGCTCGGGGGACACTGAGTGCAAACACTGCTTCTGGTTCTATTAATGAGCTTAAAAAACATTTAACCCTTGGTTTATAAACCTACCCCTTCAACAGCATTATCCGAGCAAACTTCAACCCACCACCCACAGAACACATCCAGACCTGCTCCAGTCGCTCTTTTATGCGACACTGAGAACCACTGAAAACCTTCTTACTTCTGTGTTTTATTACAAAAGGTTTATAGCTCCTTTCGTCTCTCCCACACAAAATGATCTTATTGAGGCCACGTGCCAAGACCGAAGGGTTCTGGCTTCGTGCGTTTCAGTACAGATACATCATCAGTTTGTCAGAGGTGAGCACGGACCATCGCCCTTCCCCGGCACAGAGCAGCCAGAAATGATTCAACAGCGACGTGTTTCCATCAGCATCTCAAGCAGGATCAGCAAGACACCACCTCTCCCTGAAAGCTCCAATTCCTGGTGGAAGCTTTAATTGCTACACAGAATTCTCGATCATTTTTCAGTTCTCAACCACAAGGAGTGGGTTCAGCGCCTCACAGACCTCTTCTACTCTTGCCCAGATTCATCATTGCAAAGCTACATTGAAAAAACAAACCTATTATTTTTGGACTGGTTTCCCACCCACTGCACAAATAGAGATGTCTGGATGCAGGACACGGATAAAGGGCTTCCTGAGCGGTCTGGGCTGCCCAGGGCCCAGCCATGGGCACCTGAGCACCATGGAAGTTGCTGCTGAATGGGGCTGCCCTGCACCCAGCCCAGCCCAGAGGCACCCATCAGCGCTGCCTTCTTTAGGGACCTGTGCTGGGGGATGCTAAAGCACCTCCGCATGCAGCACCCAGGGGAGCAGGAGCCCCCAGTGCCCGACTTCATCCCTGGAGCTGCTGCTGGTACTTGAAGCTTTTCTCCATCCCACATTATTACCCCAGAGCATCAGAGCTGCACCAGGGATCCTCGTGCAAATCCTTCCCACTGCCAGAGGCACACAGGCACAGGCTTGTTTGGGGGATGGACACACACAGCTCCTTGGGACTGAGCAGCTCCTGCTGCAGCAGTTCCTGTGCCAAACCCCATCTTCTCCACCTCTTGCGACCTTCCTCACTCTAATTTCCCTGCTCCTTTACTGTGAGCTCCAGCTACGGCTGCCCCACGCGTGGTCCCAAAGCTGCGGCAGCAACAAAGAAACTGCCACAGTTTGGTATTTGGGGCTGACTTTCACATGGAGAACAGAGACGCTGAATTATTCAACAAGGCACACGGGACTGAACGTCAAAACTTGGCCAAGTTTCCCCCGGTATAAGATGTCACTAAGGGGAGCTCAGCACAGAAAGGAGCTTCAGAGCAAGAGGGAATTTTCCTTGCACCTGGGATGCTCTATTGCCCCTGTGCAATGCTTCTTGCAAGAGGCCTTCACCAAAGCATTCTTCCACATCTTTGAGATGTTGCCTCTGACATTTCCTGCTTAGCAGAGGATGGGGATGAAGGATTTCTTTAATTAGACAAAGCTCTACTTTTGCTACTGCTGTCATGAGCATATTTTGGCCAATTTCTCATTCTCAAAAGCCTATCTGGAGAGCTACCAGACCATCACCCCGGCACGCCTGATTTTATAGGGATGCCCTGGAGCCACTGATCACAGACCGTAATTACTGTGCAGCTAGAGGAGGAACAGGAAACCTTCCCAAGCAGAAATTCAGAGCCACGAATGGAAACGCAATGAAGTTCCTCGTTTTACTGCAATCTAACAAAAGTGCAGCTCTCCTGGCACAAAGCTCCCAGCGACACTGCCACCTCCACGGGAGGTGTTAAGCAAACCTGGCTCTCTGAGTCCTTTTCACACCCCATCTCTCATGTGAGACTGTCTCTCGTGTGCCCTGGCTTTGAAGAGCATCAAGCAAAGATGTGGCTTCTGGCAACGTCACGTTTCAATGAGCAAACCCAAAGGGGCTGAGGAAGCCCTACCTGCAAACCACATCCCTGCTGTTGCTGAGGGCCACACTGTTGTTTTAGTCTGCATTTTTAAACAAGGTTGGCTTTGCCTTTAGAAATGACATGAACAGCAACAGGAAAAAGCAAGTTAAAACAGAGCCAGGAGTCAAAGAAATCAGGTCTCACTCCCCACATTGTCAGCAAACTTTAAACACCGTTCCATGCACGTTATTAAATCTCTGTGCTGCCGTCTCCCACCACTAAAATTCTCCCCAGTTAGGGAGAGGAGCTGGGACTCAGTTCATAAGCACCCAATAAAGGCTCCAGGGCTTGTCAAGGCAGAGCCATGGCATGGAGCATTGCGGAGCATTGCTGCCCGCCAGCGGTACCTGCACAGGCTGAGCCCAAACAGGGCGCAGAGGCTGGGGAGCCGCTGGCACCCCTGCTCCTGCTCCCACAGGGCTTAAAGCAGTCCCAGGGAAGTCCCAGGCTGACTGAACGAGGCTCTCCTGCGGTCTATTATTAGACTTCTGAAGCAAAAAATCGGTTTATGAATCAGATGGTTATACCGCAGGTTCTGACTTCCAGGGAAATCTCAGAGAAAAGCACGCTGCTCCCCAGGCCAACTGCTGCTGCTTTGTTCTTGCATGAAAAGCCCCAAGCACTGAACATCCCAGCACATCAAAGCCTGGGACCTGGTTCCAGCGATGAGGCAGCACACACCGCTGCACTTCCCTCCTTGCCTCCCTATGCTCCAGCTCCCAGAGCAGTGCTCAGGTACAAGAGCAAAGCGACCCATTTTGAGGCTTGGACACAAAGAGCCTCCCTGAGCTTGGCACCTCCGAAAGCGCGGCTGGACAGCAACTGTCCCGGCATCAGGGAGTGCTTTTCCAACAGCTCCTCCCGCTAAGGCAGTAACCAAGTGCAACCCCAGCTCCTCTTACAGCTCCTGCGCTCCAGCCCCAGCCAGGGAAGTTCTTAAGCATGCATTCAAGGATAAGTAATCCTCTCAATTTCATCAGGATTAAACAACATTCTTAAAAGTAAGTCAATCCTTGCGTGTTTGCTAAACTGTGCCTCATTTTCCCAGCAAAGCAGCCCCTTATTTGCACAGAAACCCAATAACATTTCCTGCCACTCCTGGCTCCCTGTGTCGTTTCACACCCGCTGGCACCCGGGGTCCCTGATCTCATCTGAGGCTTTTCGTTCCTGCTGCAGTACAGGGACACATTAATACCACGAACACAGGCAGGACACTAAGTGGAGTTACAGCTCACTGGTTATTTATTCCTCTCCTTTCTCCTGGGGCCGCCTGGAAAAGCGGAGTCTTTGATTCCCAAGGCAGATGGTATAAGCAAAGAGAAAAGATTTCTTGCTGTGGGGCATCAATTCTCTTCAGGTCTGTGCTGATTATTTCATCAGCTCAGGTCTTTGGGCTTCCCCTCTCAAAACTGCCTGGGAAGAAAGCAGAACCGAGGTTGCTGCATCCTGGAAGTGCTCCTGGAGCACACCGGCAGTAAGAGCTTCCAGATGTGCCAGTCCCTTGAACCAGCACTCGCGAAGGCTTCAAGGACTGAAACCACCTCATGGGTGAGCATCAGGTCAGTCAGTGGGGAGCGCTGGCGGCTCTCCCAGCCCCATCCACATGCAGCAATGTCCTGGGGGAGCACCCACTCTGCACTGGCAGGCGAGAGTGTTGGCAAAGCCACTGGAACGTGCTGCTTGGAAAAACTGCCTTTATCTGGGCACTTGTCTACCGAGAGGAGGAGGGCTGGGGGCTTAAACAACGGGGGCTTAATGCAGATTATTGCTGTTATTACTTCTTTGCCCATTTCTGAATGCAATTTCCTCCAAGAAAACTGCATTTAGCTTGAAAACATTACCCTGAAAGCTATAAATAACACCCTGCTGACAGCAAGATGCCACAAACAGAGCTATAAAGGCAGCAGTGCAGGCGATGCGCAGCCGACCTGCAAAGGACTAGTGGGAAATTTGAGTGGTTTCACTGTGAAAGGTGAGGGATGCCCTTCGCATTCCCGACCTTCCAGCTTGCCTTGTATGTTCAGACACGAGCTAAATCCAGCCACCAGCTGGGCACTGCCTGACCACCACAGGCATGAGGTGTGATCCGTGCGGGGAACCAACAGAACCAGACACGGAGCACCAGGACCTTGCCTCTGATTTTAGGGGCTGAGCTGCAGAAGTCTTGTGGAGACCTTGATTTAAAAAGGCACCAAGCTCTGATCTGCATGGGAAAAAGAAAGAAAAGGGGGGGGGAGAGAATCAAGTCTGGGCCTGGCCCTCCTCACATTCACCGGTCACTGCAAGAATCCTGGCTGAGGGGAGAGATGGGATAAACCAAACAAAGATATCCCCCCCACACCAGCACCTCCAGAAATCCAGCACTTTTCTTCTCCCTTACCAGGAACGCTTTGCTTTAGGAATTACACAATGGAAAATAAACTAAAGCATAACAAAAAGCAAATGATTAAGGTTGCTGCTCTCCTATTTCCCCCAGTGCTGTTTATTGCTGATGGCATCTGCTTGCATCTACAAAACTCTCAAACTCACTGCTTGCTTGAAAAAACAAACTACCCAAACCCAAACTAATACCTGCTTCTAATGAGGAGCTCGGCACAGCAGGAATAACACTGGGCAGAGGGCTCGAGCTGCCATCTCTGCACACACACTTCAGGGGGATGGAGGGCAAAGGTGGTTTCAGAACCTGAAATTATGTGGAGCAGTGTCCTGGTTTGCCCCTAAAGCCATGAAGAGCAAAAGAAACCCCCAGGCCTCCAGAATGGGCAGCACATGCGATTTGTGACTGCAGATGGGGCAGGCATGGGGCTCTGCCCTCAGCACACCAACAGCACGTGGTGTCCCCACGAGGAGTCCCCACACCTGAGCTTTGCTTTGGATTGGGCTTGCAA